AACGTCACATGGGTTGATGCTTCTCTTATCAAGAAAGCGAATCTCGTTGTAAGACATCCCAAAGCTCTCTGCAAGCTGTTTCCATTCTTCTCCACCTAGCAAACAAAAGCGATTTCAAAGTTTCAGATTCTGTTTTATTGGAAAGTTTATAGAAACAGTTGCGCTTTTGAGGAAAGACCTACTGTCCAGAACACGAAATGGTATTTTGTGTGACGTCAGATGCCTTCGCAGAAGACAGCTGGTTTTTTCTTTCAAGTACAGTCTGTAACCTAGTTTGAGCTATCATTTTAATTTTAGACTTGTTAAACACTAAAATTAAAACGATTTTTTATGAGGATGAAAAATCATATTGATGCAAGACATGTTATTTTTGCATAATGGGGTGTTTAATTAAGCAACCACGACTACGATGGCTGCGACAGTGCGATTTAAGGTGGCTCGGTAGAGTTTTTCAGGATCAAACCCTCCCAAGTTTGAGCATAAACTACATATATACGTCGCCATTAACCGACATATTTAGGAATATTACCACCACAGCTGTATTAGATAAAAATGAAAATTTGTTCTGATCAGGGTTACAATGACACCGGAGTTTTCATAGCGATGAAAAGACGACATTACCTATTTTACTTGCAGCCGAATTTCTCGGCACTAGAAGCTGTCCTTCCAAAATCGTTCATGGGAGCGTTTCTCTCCCGGTGAGCGTTATCGAGATATTTTGGGATGACGTTTTTCAGCGGAGCTCCACGCGCGCGCTGGGCGAAGCCTCATAGCTAAGAAAATGTGGTAATCTACCCATCCGAGAAAATTTGGTGTTTACTATCACACTTTCTAGCTAGTTTGGGAGCCCACAAGAAAACCAATTGCACATCAATGTTGTGATCAATTGAGAGCTGTCAAAACAGGGTATCCGCTGACCGGTGTCACCGGACCGTATCGTGGGCTTAGGTGTCGACCCATTGAGGTCGAGTATGTTTTCGAAGTTATCCGCGGACAAGATACTAGTTTTCAAAAGATCGCAGGCTCAAGATTATTTTTTTTAACTCATATGAAATATGTTGTGTTTATGTCCCTATGGCCCCGCACTATTAAGATTTTGATTTCACACTGACCTCAGACGCGAAAATTCAGCCAGTTGTTTAAAATACAGGCGGGGAAGACCTTTTCTTACCATGGTCACGAGTTGGTCACGCTCTACGTCCAATTTTTTATGCTCTGATTGGTCAAAATTTGACAGGTGAGTTCATGCCGAAAATTTATGCAGCATCTTAAAAGTTGTTTACTTTGACAGCTGAAGCTGACAGAGTTTTGTGTCAACTTGTGATGTTTTTAACTGTCTTTTTCCACTGGATGTACAAATGAAATACAGCCGCAATCAAGAGTCTTCTGGCTTGTTTATTGGGTTTTCAGTTGAGAAATACGTCGCTTGTCAAAGTCGGAAATCCGATTTCGGATGAAATCATAACTATAACAAAATTCTCAAATCGGATTGGCTATTAATTGCCTTGATTTCAATTACTTAAGCATGACGCGTACTGTCCAATTATAATGTCCTATTAGTATAGGTAATAGCACGATTTGTACGTGTTATTCGGCATAATACCACTCGTGATATTTCAAAAATTGTCTCAAATTTCACTCGAATTACGTTTAACAATTTCGAAATATCACTCGTGGTATTTATACCAAATATCACTACACATCATGCTATTACCTATGTTAATCATACTCGTGATTAAGCAAATCGGACTCCTGCTTTAATCACTCGTATGATTACAGACCGAATTGGACTTTTCTCAGTGCTGTTACCATTCCGCATCGTTTTCGTTTTTCACCTTGCTTGATGCGTAAGAGGGTTTGAAAAGTCTCAAGCGATTTGGTTGTAACAGAGGCCGAAAAAAAGCTTCCCGAACACAGAGTAAAATGATTGTACTTTCTCCTCGCCTTCATTTGAAGAAATTATATCTAATAACCAGGAAGCAATTTCATATTCTCCAATCTCTTGAAATCCTCTCGAGTACTGTTTCCAGATCATCCTCTGCACTTGGGTAAATCTGACATACGAAGAGTTGTCAGCTACCTCTTCTTGATCCACCAAAAACTCTCAAAGTCGTCCGTAATATCGAACCCCAACACGTTTTCTAAATCCTCAAAGTCAGTTTTAATTATTTAAGATTCTCGTGGTTAACCTTCGTTATATATGTATGACCTTTGAGTTTCAAGATTATTGATTTATTGTAAGGCAGTAAAACAAAGGCTACCTGCTAAATTCTTCACAGGAATTTCGTGTTTACAAGGGGTATCGTCTCCAAGTTTCATATTTTCGTGGACAACAATACACCTGTAGATAACATTTAGACATTTCAAATGCTTGTTAGCTACTGCTGTTCACAAGCCACTTTAAAAAGAACTTTAAGAAGACGTCGTTAGGTCCCGTTGCCATGGTAGACGAATTTCTGGATCTCAACAAAACGTGGTCCTGCATCTTTCTTCGATGATGAGCCGTAATCGATGAATGTTGAGTTGTTTGAATATTCTGATGGTGAAACGAGAATATCTGTTCGTTGGCGAAACCAGCCGTTGTCCCGACTACCCTAGCCTGCATCAGCCTCTCAGTTACTGCGCTTTTCACAAACATGCGAACTCTAAAGTTCAAAAGCCACCTTCACAATTGCTTTTTTCGCTGCCGTCAATCATAATTACGATCACAAGCAACGAACCTTGAAACACAGAAACACACAAAACGGATCCAAATCCGCCAATCGCAAATCACAAACCATGACCTTTTGAACTCGTTAAAGTAAAGTTTTGTTTCCTAGGAGGTCCGTTTAGATGACTGACGGCAGCGAAAAACGAAATCGTCAGTTGCCTTTGAACTTCACAATTCGCATGTTTGTGAAAAGCGCAGTAATGCAAACGAGCGAAAAGGCTCTCGAATAAGTTCAACGACTCCCATTAAGTAAAAAAAGGGAATAATAGTTGACCACGATGGCAGCGACGACAACAACAACAAAAGCAATACTTTTAGATACGCAAAACGTCATCTTCGCACGTGCATCACGCTTTTTTGCATAATTTCTTCTTCATTCTATGATTCGTAGCACGACTCGGACGTGAAACGCACTTTTACCTTTTCCAAAACTTAGACATATTCCTTTAGAGTTCAACTGCACAAGAAGTCCCCAACATTTGACAGATGTTTCGAATAGCGCAAATTCTAGGCTATCCCTGGATGCCAGAGTCTTCCTTTCTCCTTAGGGGCAACGAGGGAGAAGACCTCTGGCACCCAGGCCTTGTTCAATTTGCCAAATGCAGTCGAATTTTTTGGACTTGATTTCTTCAGGAATCTACAGACGTTTAAAATGACAATGGAAAATTTGTCGTGGCATGTTGTGTTCCTCCAGAAAATGCCGCATTAGAAAATTTCCCGTCGTGGTCGCACTTTAGCAACCTAGATAATTTTTTTTCAGGCTATTTTTTTCAGGCTGTCTTTAACTGCGACGGTCTTCCACGCACTTAGTTTTCTAAACATAAATTAGTTAATTGGGTACCTAAATGAAATTGTTGTTGTTGTATTGGATATAATTTTATGTCTGGAACCTGGAAATAATCTTTTGACATGACAATGACAATATTGCAGAGACGTAATTTTGGGGACATAGGTGAGACGCTTGCAGGAAATAACGAATAACACTTACCAGAAAGACTAAATGTTAGTTCCTTTCTCATCTTGAAGGGAATACAAAGCACATCAAGGTTCTCGTTCAGTATGGGACCTGGTTACCAAACAACATGATGTGAATAAACCAAACTACCATAACTGTACATACAAATCTGTGTATATACTTTTACATCTAAGAAGTTCAAACATGAACTTTTTTGAAGGTCTAAAGGTGGCGAAAACTGATGAGTTGCCTATTGTTGAAAACGGAAGTGTTCTCTCGAGTTCTTGCCTGAAAGACGCTGGAAAAACTTTACTTACTACTTGGAAGTATCTCTCCTCGTGGTAATAAAAGAAAGAACGAATTTTGTGGTGTTTTTGTTGTGGACGTACCTGTAGTACCGGCAGGTGTTATCGTCCTCAAGTACTCAATTACGTCGATTCTTTTTTGACATTTAGCCTTATTAGATAGACATCGAATCCATCTTTGCGTCTCAGGCTCTGGATTTTCCAGTTCAGCTGGAGTTAACTGCAGACACTCTTGAAATTGAACTACAATTTCCTTGGGTTCGTTCGACTGAGTCTGAATGCACTGAAGAACATCAGGGGGAAGAGCAAGAGACTTCTCTAGGAATTAAAGAAACATGTTACAACAGAAAACTTCAAGTGACTGCAATTATAAATTGAATTAAAAGAAAGAATAGATACGAAAAAACACAGGATTTAAAAAGTACAACTGATCTAAGTGCTCTTGCCTTCTTGGTAAGTTATACAGCTTTTCAGTTCTCCCACATCACATCCAGATGCACCTTGTTGCTTGAAAATAACAATGAAAGAATTAAGAATGTACAGTTTGGAGACCACCCCCCCTTTTTTTTGTTGCTTTATAGTATAATTATGTTTTTTCCAATAACTATTTAGTTGTATTACTAGATAATAATGATGATGGTACCTTTTGCTTAAAATGGTTAGGATCAAAGTAACAAGATATAATTTATGCAGTCTACCCTGCCTGAAATAGCGTATGTGTTAATTTTGTATATTGAAGAATTTGAAGATAGTCTTGTAGTAGTTGTAGTAGTATTGGAGAACAACACACTCGCAGGGGCGGATCCAGGATTTTTTTTAGGAGGGGGTGTACTCGTCTCTTGCTCTACTTCAACACCAATAAACCACATAGTTTTTTTTTTTTGGCAGAATACCAGTTGTATTAGAAAACCGAAGGTCATCTCGGGGGGGGGGCACCCCTGTACCCACCCCCCCTAGATCCGCCCCGGACTCGTGAATTGTATAAATTCTACATAATGATGGCAAAAAAGATAGAGACCAACCTGGTGAACTAGAGTCCGGCTTTCCTGTGGGCTTGTAAATGAAAACCAAGTTGCAAAAGTTTGATGCGAATTCTGCAATCTCCACGCAAACCAGGTCGGGTGCAGAATGGACAACTCTGAAGCTCGGATTCTGACAGTAGGTGAAGGCACTCACAGCCACGCACATCATGAGCACGACACCTGGCAGAATCTTTCTGTGAACACACAGGACAGCTAACGCATATTCCATACCTCATGTTCTTCAGCCAGCTAAACTCGCTGCGCATCAACTCGAGAATCATCCTGAGTTGCCAATGAATTGCACGACCTGTAGTCGGATCAGAAGGATGATCAGTGACATCTGCCGTCATCGATCCAGAAAAGTCGCTTCCAACGTGAAGGGCTATTTCAATAGACGAGGAATGGCACAAAATAATAACAGACATCCCCTGATCAGGAAGGATGTGGAAGCGAGCAAAATTCCTAAACAGTTGGGGTTGTATCGGGCTCTTCCACTCTTCATTGCACCACTGATAGAACTGGAGTACAAGTCGCGTAAACAGGCCTGGAGGCACTCGGCCTAATTCAAACCTCACAAATAGTGAAGGGATTCTCACAGAGGAAAGGAGCTTAACGAGGTCGTCAGAAGGGGGCGACATCAACATGGATGGCACCAGGTACTGTTTGTGTTCTCCGTCAGATGGCCAGGGGCAGAGCAAGCTGAATCTCTCCATCAACGCGATAAGGGTCCCACAGGTTTCTTTACTGTACATATCAATCACAGTTTTCCACTTGTGATCCAAAAGCCTTTCATCTAAAATTCCAGTGTCCTGCAGCTTAAGCAAAAACTGTTCAACGTTGCCTTCTGTAGGCTCGTAACGCTTAACGGTGATCACTTCCTTGAAGATGTTAATGAGCCACTGGGGGTCCAAAATCACCATGTTGTTCAATTCTGGTGTTTTGTTGAAATGAATTAGAATCTTTTGATCGTGCATAAAGTTAAGCATCGTCCAAAACTGTTCATCGTTGTAGATCCCGCAATTATCAGTGGCAATCTGCCTTGCTTCATTAATGGGCATCCACTTGTAATGCTTTTCACGTAAAACCCGGAGGATATGCTCAAACCTTAACCACTTCAATGGAATAGCCTCCCCTACTTGAGGAAGACTTCGGGCAACGGAACGTAACTTCTCTCTTAGGCGCACTACTTCTGGACACTCATTTTCGCTTCCTGACTTCGTGTTGTCGACCAAAAAGACGTCCTTAAACAAATGCCTTTTATAAGGCTTGGTTCTTAGAAATCCAAAGATATCGAGTGCCAAGCCTCTAGGATCAGTGGCACTACAGTAGGGTTCATCGGCGTGAGTACACACGAAAAACACTCGAGGCAATCTCGCAGTTGTGGCGTCTGACAAAGAGGTGTCCTGGCCAATATCATCTGGACCGACCAAAGAATATATTGATGACAGCCAAAAGTCAAGGTAGTCTAGGTTTGTCTTGTTGCAACAAGTGTCTTCTTGGTTCTTATACAACCCTTGTCTGACGACAGTGTCAGCTTTTTCGTACGGGTTGCGACTTAGGTCACAAGCTAAAATGTAGATGGCACTCTGGGTCAAGAATATTGGATGGGTGGCATAGTAGACTGACTGTCCACCAAAATCCCAAAGAATAGAAAAGACTTCGTTCTCTTCTTGAAACTTTTCTTCATTTTGCAGCATTCTTTCGACCAATGTTGCTATGCTGTCTGGTACCTTTTCTTCGAGCGGATGACTATAATTTTTTGCGCTTTCCCTTACGTCTGTAAGCAATGGTTCAGTGCTACTTGTGCCTTCAACATTTGGCAGCGTTGTTTCCTGCGATGATGCTCCACTGTCTGGCACCTCTTCTTTGAGTGGACGACTACGTTTTTCACTTAATTTGGACTCAGTAAGCAATGATTCAGTGCTTGGAGATGTTTTTAACTCCCCACAAATATACTTGGCAACGTGACGCTCAAACAAAACCTCCGATATGGGTTCAGTTACATTGTCCTTCTCACCAGTTCTCCAAGCCTCAGTAGAAATATGAAAGTAGTTGGGGTCAGTGTCTATTCCTACCGTACTGGGTTCCTTTGCATTAAACTTTTCTCCCTTTAGAGATTTTTTTAGACTTGTCTTTCCTGTCCGATCCTGTCCAATAAACATGATTGGTACTCTTTTTATGGATGTCTTCCCATCCAATACAGCACGGTTGTACGCTTCAACTGCTGCGGGGCCTCGCGCTTGAATATCTAAGGGAACTGAAATCGACACATGATAAAACACAAGATCCGTTAGTCCCCAATACATGTACGTGTAGTTGCACACGGTAACCGCTAACCACTTGTTTCAAAGGCAATAAACTTGAAAAAGATCTAAGAATCAATGAAAATCATAAAGTCGAACTACAAACTGATGATCTCGATGAAGAAAGGCAACTTATCGCGCAATTTAGACAGCTACGGTAATATAAAGCCTACAGTAAATCATTATCAAACTAACTACGTAAATAGACAAACGCAGGTATTACAAAAATGAAAGATATTACATTCAAGGGATGAATCGTTTGCTTGTCGCAGTTCGTAGAAAAAAGCTTCAATTTGATGACAGTTGTCCTGCACAAATATAATAAATACCCAGTCTTCTTTAATTTATTCGACATGTTAGCACAATTAACGTTGGTAAAAAGGCCGGAGGTAAGGCTCCTACAAGGATATCATACTTGAGACAGCCAGTAACTCCTTAACCGTGGCCACCAACCACAATTAATTTCAACACTTTTTCTGTAAACACCATGATTTCTTTCTCATTTAGGTATAAGGTTTCTAATTTATGGCTAAATTTCTAAGTGCCATATAGTTCATGCGTTCTAATCGTCTTTGACACCTTCCGACCTTACATTGAAGTTACAGTGATTTGAACAACTGGCCTTCACAGACATGTCTGCAGACTGTTTTCGGTATTCTTTAACTTTCATACCAATTACCACAAGTTATAGTCCTCTTTTTTGGTCAAATTGATAAAAGCCATTGTTTCAGCATACTTTTCTTTCTTTTAAATGCGAAATAAAATTTTTGCAGTAAAAAGTTAAGTTATCACATTCTGATTTCATGAGCTGTCAAATGACGTTTACTCTGTGACGTTACCATGGGCATGACTTTCACCGGCTTACGTGTCCGTAGACGCTTTGCCTGCTCAAATGACGACATTATTTTATACGTAGTCGCCAGACAAAATGGATCTCTCCAGAACTTTCGATAGTGACAATAATTTTCAGGAGGTGAGAGGAAGGTTAGAGCGCTTATCTGGTCACTTGCAGTCACGCGAATTTGGCTCATTTTTCCATCCCGCGATTAATTTGCCTTAGCAGTGATTAAGTTGTTCGCCAAGTGCAATGCAAAGATCCTACACGTATAATTAATTGGACAAAATTGCCTAAGTTACAGCAAACTTGGAATTGTGTACGAACGGGAATGTGGTATGATGGATCCTTCATTTCTCCACGCAGATCCCGCGGGAACAATAACGGGAAATCCCTTGATGTGCAAGGTGCTTTGATGAGCTTGTTATGCAACAGAAACGGAGTATTTTTTCTCGCAGACGGTTAACTTTGCGAATAAAATACAGCAGAGGAAAATAAAAAATAAAATAGAAATACAAAATAAAATACAGCAGAGGAAAGAAACAACGGTCAACAACTGTTCGGAAGGAAAACAACAGGTAGACTATCAGTTTCTGTTAACCGCTGTTAACAGTTGGAATAAACATGTGCGTGCCTGTTAATCGTTTATTTCAAGCGTTTACTGTGCTTTCTAGCATTTTTCCGTAGTATATAGAACCTTTTTGTTGATTTTCAAGCATTAAAAAAGACCTTTCACTTTTGACACTGGTGTAATTGTCATGAAGTGCGCTGTTTTTTGCCACAAAAAAACTACCATCGTGTGACAACTTGTTTTCGCTGTATTTGTGATCAAAGAGGCATTGCTTTCCCTACATATCCTATTTCTACTAATTTTGGAAGTTCTTCATTAATATTTGTTCTTTTGGCCTTGGTTGTCATAGAAAAATTAACAGTTTTATCGGCATGGATTCTATTATTTTGCCACGTAAATAAACTGGCATGTTTTAAATTGTTCTAATTACACACTCAGTAAACGCGGGTATTGTTAACTCGCTAAAGCTTACTTTTCCAGTTCTACTTTAACTATATGAAGAAAGTTGTCAATGCAACTGAGTATCCCTACCTCGTTGCGTTGCGGACCCTTTGCGAAGAAAGTCTGTAAGATTAGGACCATGCCTCCCAAGAGGATTATCAGGAACGAGAAAAACGTCCCCAAAAAATGCGTACATGAGTAATCTTTGTTCAATAGTCTCTCTCCACTTTGCATTCTCTTTTGTCAAGTCTCTAAAGTTATCATTTGACACAACAATTCCATCAGTCTCTGCAGCAAGCTTGGTGATGAGACGGTCATCATAACACACAATTCGCCACCCATTTACTTTCCTTGAAGGAGTGAACACAAGGATACCATCGCGCTCCAGATTGTGTAGTACTTCCTGGTCTGTAATTGGACTATCAGGCCGGGAAGCCTCCTTTCGCCATGATGGCACAAATACTGTGATTTCTTTGTGTCCCCTGTCTCTAAACCAATCTACACAAAGTTGTATACCTCTGCAAGAGTATATACGTTGGCGTCCATGACTGCAAAAAAAAAATGAAAAATTACATTAGTGAGGTGATCCAAAAAACCAACTCATACAGCTCAAAATGTATGTAGAAAGGGGCTCTGGTGCAGTATTCAAAACATTAAGCATTACTCTTGATTGAACTAGAATCATCAGTTCTGGTCTAGACAAGGCATGAATTTTTGAAATCCCTTATAACTTTGATGAGCTTAACAATGACTTAAAGTCATATCAGATCAGCATTCTGTCTTGAATTAATGAGACAAAACTTGATGCTTTAATGGTTGTCTTCTAGACTTGAGATGCAGATTAACCCAAAGATGGCAGTTTGCCCTTAGAGTAAAAAATGGGCTGCCAATAGGTTCTTAAATAAACACAGTTGTTGAATGCTGATTGGTTGCAAGTGTGGTTTCTATTAATCATGGTTCTAAAAATGTTAATATCTATGGGATCAAGAACAGAATGCCAAAGAATAGAATTTTCCAAAAAAGACACGAAGTGAGAAACAAACAATAAAAAAAGGAAGGAATTATTCATTAGCTTTCATTTTTATGGTCACACTTCACAATTTCATCTCCACTACAATAAACATGTACATGTAACAACAGTAAAAAAATGAGATCACAGCAACACAAGTTTGATTCAAAGTAAAAAAGTGCCAGAAGGGGATAAAATTCTCATAAGATAATTTATAACTTTTTTATAACATGTAAATAATTAACAACTATTCCTCAAGCCTGAATGGGCTGTGAGTCAATAGCCCATGAGGCCAAAGGCCGAATGGGCTATTGACTCAGAAGCCATGAGGGCGAGAGCAATAATTGTTTTAGTAAAATCCAACTAGTTGGTCAAAAACATCGAGACAAAACAAGCTAGGCTACACTTTACTCCTTTTTTGCCACCAAAAAGCCAGCGCTTTTCGCTACTAGTGGGCTATAACATATAGCCTAGTAGTAACTCAACCAATCAGAATGCAGCATTGATGATAGACCACTATTTGTATTTTACTAAAAGACATTATATTTTCACAATTTTCGACCACTCATAACGAAGTGTGTAGATGCAATAATAAATTGATCAACATTGTAATAAAACAAAAATTGAGGTGTTTTTAACTCTTAATGGGGAGTAGAAATCCTGATTTGTGACCTTTCAAATAAAAACTAGTGAGCAGTACACCTTTATTCTCTTGTTTAAAGAGAACTGTACTCCAAGTTGGACACTAAAAGAAAATGATTGTTACATAACAGATACATACACTCACCTCATTGCCACATTGCTTCCATCAATAACTATTGGTCTCAAGTTTGAGGATGCACTAACTGAGGCCTTTTTAGCCCCAACAATTTGCTGGTACATCAACTGTTCTTGTTCATCAAGTCTTGACACTGGATCAGGCATGCCTTTGGTAATACCATCTCTCCTGTTGTAAGGCATGGATGGACCAGGTGATGGCTCTCTGTCCCAATGAGGATGAATTGGGGCTCGAACCATGTGATCTGGAGGGTTTTCATAGCCTGATCTCATAATACTCGATGCGTTTGGGGCACCTCTAGCAACAACTTCTCTTGCTGATATTTGGTAAGGTAACGAAGCTGTTTGCTTCAGAAGCTCATTTAGCAGTGTATTTTGAGTCACGTTTGAGCCAAGCTTTTGAACGGCCTGGTCTATGACTTGGTTGGAATAACCAAGTTTGATTGCAAACTCCCTCAACTGTGGCTCAATAGCAGGAGGTTGAGGTGTTTTAAGTTTATCTTCGATCGCTGATTGTGCCATTATCACGGCCTCTGCACTACCTTGAATTGAGCATTCCTTCCGAGAAGGGAACGTAACAACAGCCCTTGTTGATCTTTCAAGATCATCCCTTGAATTGTAAAGTAGACTGAAAAATTGTTCCGCAAAAGGAACAGAGATAACCAGCTCGGGATTACAAAGTGATTTGATATATTCCTGAAAATCAACAGAGACGAATAGAAATCAGGCAATTTGGTAGGAATTTCAAGACAATTTTGCCAAATAACTATGAACTATCACATCACATGGTTTTTAAAATGATCATTTTATAACCAGTCAGTATAAAACATGGACTGCGGACTGCGGACTACGGACTGCGGACTGGGTATAAAATACGGACTAGGTATAAAACGTGGACGGGAAAACACGGACTGGGTATAAAACACGGACAAGGTATAAAACGTGGACTGCGGACTGTGGACTGGGTATAAAATACGGACTACGCACTACTTTGGTAAAAACGGTGCTAATTGGTTCTAGGTAAGGAAAAATAAGATCAAAAGATCGCTAAATAGCAAGACATGTGAGTTAAAGTGTAAATACTCCTATAAATTAGTCTTGGTGGAGGTGTGCCGCTCGGTTCTCTGAATCATGAACCGGGTAAAAATGCTATTTTCTTCACCCATTTTTAGACCTTGTCTCGGTCTCTAACAATCATGAAAGGGGTCAGGATCGGGGGTGGTACTTCCTTATATAATGGAAGGGTAGGAGTTCTGCGCCTTTTTGGTCTGAAAACACTTTGCCTGTTTTGGTGTGGAATCGGGTATGGTTTTCGAGGGAACTACGGGAGCGTGCATGAATGGACGTATTTATCGTTTCAATTCCAAATGAATAAGAACGAAACAGAAATGTGAGAATTCGAAATGCACTTGGAGAATTTTTTTGTTTCCGCTCTAACTTGGTAATGATGACATAATTTCTGCCTAATTAGACCTAAACTGTTCCAGGCTCTGAGATAGTTGGGTCCACTGAATTGAGAAAGCGAAAACACGAAAATAAAACGGGAGAAAACTGGGGAGTCTCCCCAACTATCTGAGAGCCTGGAACAGGATAAATTAGGCCAGGTCCGAAAATGGGTATGATTTTAGAGATCTGGTCTGAAAATGGATGTGGAAAATGGCATTTTTTGGTCTGCAATAAGGTCAGGATTCGGAGAACCGGGCACCACACCCCGTGGACCAAGAATTCCCACTGGTACCACCCTCCGGGGATCAGGAGCAGGGTGTAAATCATATAATCATCGCTTAGAACATAATGTTGGATGACTGATTTCGGTTATTATTCATGTATGTGAGTAATCCCTCCCCCCTAAATACTGCTTTTTTGCATCGCGGAATGCCCTACATTGACCTTCTCGTCTGAGTTCTTCATTCAGTCCTCATATTCCCAAGGCTTTACTTGAAATGGAATTGTGACATCCGATAAGAAATTTACTGATCTGACTTACACCAATACTATTTTTTTAAAATTCGGTGCTTCTTATTGGTTTAAAACTGCAAATTGAAATCTCTTCTAACTCCCTCCTTTTACAAAATTCAGAGTTTAATTTCAGTTGCCTTGAGTACCAGCATGACCTTCCTTCTCCGTGGGAAGAATAGACTATGTGAACAGCCAAGGTAATGTTAAAGCTGGGACTACTGTTTTTGCTAGTCCGCTTTCCATTTCTCTCGGTTTTACCTTTCTAAAGTCGTTTTTATATACATAATCCGTAGTCCGCGTTTTATACCTAGTCCGTGTTTTATACTCAGTCCGGAGTCCGCGTTTTATACCTAGTCCGTATTTTATACCCAGTCTGCAGTCCGTGGTCCGCAGTCCGCAGTCCATGTTTTATACTGACCGATTTTATAACTCCGAAGATAAGCTTGCCTTAAGCAGAAGTTCGCAATAACTCGAAATGTTTGTGGGAGTTCAATAACAAGAAAGAACTAAGTGCGGCTAGAGAAGCCAGTATCACTCTTCAACACTGTCTTCAATCCGAACAAGGAAGTTTTTTTCGTGACCTGCGGCCCCCGTATTTCAAAGCGTATATAAAAACCTTCGCTTTGTTTAAGCTGTCTTTCTCTCCTTTAAGGGCTAGCCACTGAATTCCACTCTTAACAGCGCTTTCTTCTGGCGTGCTGAAGTTAACAAGCACATGAAACAAAAGTCGTATTCTCTCAAAAGCTTTTCCAACCACTGTTCGCTTGCCATGCTCAACTGGCAGTTCGTCCACAATATCGTTGTCCGCCATTTTGCTTCTAATAATAATAATAATAATCTTTATTTGATAAATAAGTACAAAAAGCTCAAGTTAACGATAATAAGATGCCAAAGCCAGAGGCTTATATGGCGTAGGTCAGAGAGTTACAATGTGCTACTAAGTTACAATGAGAATAAAAATTAATAAGTACAAGATTTACAGAGAAAAGGCAAACTATTACAACATATAAAGAATTATTACTGCTTATAAAGCAAAATAAACATAACCATAATTGTTATGTTTATTTTGCTTTATAAGCAGTAATAATTCTTTATATGTTGTAATAGTTTGCCTTTTGCGCTGAAATAGGGTCAAACTCGTGACCCGAATAAAGTCTAGTCCGTGGGGGTCCTCAATACGTTAGGAATTTTATGATTTCGCTCCAGTGATTTTTACAAAGGAAATAGATTTACAGGAAGATTTTCGTGAAGAGGGTAAAGTTTGACTCCACTGAGAGACTATATCTTTGATATTTCCATTTCTAAACAACGGAAACTGGAAAATTTTATTTTACAGTACATCTTCTCCACAGAAGACAGAAAAAGGAAAAATTATTAAAAGGTTAAAAAAATTTTGTTTCAGTTTACTATTCTGAGAAATGCGGTTCGTGTATAAGGTTACGCCTGTGGGATCTCTGTTCCTTGAATAGTTTTGATCCGCACACAGGATATAATTGCAAAGTTGACCCCAAACGACTTCTCGCATCACACAATTGTCTTAAACTGGCAAAAGTTGATGAAAAACTAACTGTGGGTCGGTAGTAATGTAAGTTGGCAGGGGCACACCCTATAAAATGAGAGATTATGATGTGGCACAATTCCAAAATTGTACAGACTGAGCGTCTCCCTTCGGGAACGTGGGTGTCGGTTGGAAGGTGGAAGCTGAGAAATCATGCAACGGGGCGGAGAAAAAAGCAATGGAATGAGGAATTAGCTCAAGTCCAAGAATGGCTAACACTTAAATCAACTGACTCTCAATATAAAAAAAACAAATTTCATCATTTTCAAATCCCACAAAAAACGATTAAGAAGAGATTTGCGTCTCACATTAAATGGGACTGTATTGCAGAGAGTAGAAGATGGTAAATTTTTATGAATTGTAATTGATCAACACTTAACTTGGAAGAACCATATTGACTATCTAACTAAAAAGATTTTAAGAATTACAGGTCTGCTTTGTAGGATTCGTTTATACGTCAATCAAACGCATCTAAAAATGTTGTATAATAGCCTAATTTACCCATATCTCCATTATGGGAATATTGTTTGGGCAAATAACTATCCCACAAGGCTTGATACGTTGTTCAAACTACAAAAAAAAGTATTGAGAATTATAACCTTTTCGCCGTATACAGCACCATCTCTTCCGCTCTTTATTAAGTTAAGTCTTCTAAACATTTTTCAAGTAAATGATTTCTTAATTGGCTCTTTCAGTTTCAGCCTTAATAGTAAAGTAATTCCGTCTTATTTCAATGACTTCTGTATAGGAAATGCACAAGTCCATGGCCATAATACTAGAGCAAAAGGACATCTACATAAGATTTTTAGCAGAACAAATTATGGAAAATACTCTACTAAAAACAAAATAATTGATATCTGGAATAGAATACCTCTGAACATAAAATGCTCGGCATCTACAAAAATATTCAAAAGGAAATTTAAAACTTTTTCTCTTATCCCATGTGGTTATAGTAGAGTAAATAAGTACTCAAATATATTCATAGTGAATTATTTTTAATAAAAGTATTATATGATTATTGTAATTATTGATCTCTCTATTAATTACCTATTTCACCGACTCGATTTCAGTAATTCAAGTAGATCTTTCAACCCTTTCTCCTATCCCATGTGGTGATAGTACTGTAAATAAGTACTCAGTACAGAGTGAAATATTTGTAATATATGTGTAAGATCAATTATTGTATCTCTGTCTGTTAATAGGACAATTGCACGATGACGATATTTGACTACAACTACCAGAATTCATTTCGGTTTTGCTTTGTTATTTAAATTTGTCAATCCCGCTGAGGATTAAAGAACAATAGCCTTAATTTGCACAAGAAAACAACAAACTCAAGGATTCTGGTAGTTTTAGTCAAATGACGTCATCGTGCAATTATTATTGTCCTATTACCTATTTCACTGATACCATTTCAATGAATTTCAATAGATCTTTTGTTACCTTCAGGGAGACTACTTGTAAAAGCCCGTAAGGGTTTCTTCAGTCTTCCTCCCAAATTTATTGCATTGTATCACACCGTATGTACTGTATAATATTACGGGAAATAATAAACTCAACTCAACTCCACCCACTTAGTTTTGTTTTTTGCGTCTTGCTACTTTCTGAAATCCGGGGGTCACAAACGGGACGTGTCTAGTTCTCATTTGCTTCACTACTGTATAGTTAAATTCTTTTCTCCTATTTTTAAGTTTTGAGTTCTTCGAGGTATAAACCAGTTCGGTCCAGTCAAATCAGGTTAATTTGCAGCCAGTCGACTATATACAGCTATATATAATTCGCTCGGCGCATATCCAAAATTAACACTGATTTCTTTAAGTATCCTAATTGCATAGAACTAAACCGAAATTATTTCTTTTCTTGTGCTTGACACGAAAGTAAAGACAAATTACAATGAGTTTCGTTCTTTTCATCTCCAGCCAGATGAGGAAATAGA